TGCATGTCCCTCAGCACACAGCCAAAAATGCAGAGAAAAGAATTTGGTTGGAGCAGAGGTGGGATGGTTGCAGGCATGATACTAAAATCTGTGACTGCCTTTAAAGAGAAGAAGAGAAGAGAAAGAACACCAGTGTGAAGAGTATGGGATGGTACAGGCAGGAAGGTACAGGAGGAAAACTGAGAACTGAGCTGAGAAGGAACTTTGTGTCCTAGAGTTCTCTCTCCCTGAGGCCTTTGCAGGTGTAAAGGAGACATTTTGCTTCCCATTTAGAGTGGTAGGAATCTCACATCATTTATAAACCCTTCTGATTTGAGGGGTGCTAAGAAGCATCACTCTGGAGGTCAGGCTGCTTGCTGGGGTCCTTCCACCCCACAGCACTAACTCCAACTATTTGCAACCACCAGCTCCAGAGCATTTCACCATCACCAGAATCGTGCCCATCACAAAAAGAAGGTTCCCAGCTGGGATGGGCAGAAACCCACCCCAGCCCTCAGGCAGAGTCCAGCCCCAGAGGTGCCTGATGCTGGTGGCTCCCAACCCGCGGTGAGATGCCTCCTTTGCTGGGAATCCCGCCCTCTAACACCTGCAGAAGAACCGTCCTCCCCGTTTTCCCAGGTCCTCTGGCAGCTCCTCAGCCTGTGCCCTCTGCTCCCCCGGCTGCCAGGACCTGCCTCTCTCCTCGGGCTCTTCTCTGCGATGCCCTGGGAGGCTCCCGAGGCTCCCACCGCCTGTGACTCCGGGACACTGTGGGTTTGGTGCAGCCACATCTGCTTTTTGCTGCTTCCCCCAGCCGAGCCTTGGGCAGGCTTCAGGTTACAGCTTCACAGGGCTCTCTTAAAGTGCTCTGCTCCCATTTTTCTGCTGCTGCCACCTTCCCACTGAATTGCACCCACTTTTCCACCCTGCCCTCCAAAACAAACGTGCTCCGTGTGACCAGGACAGTCCAGTGGGTAAAACACAGGTCAGAGAGGCAAGTGCTCCCTGCCCTGCTTGGGCAAGTCTTTTATCCCTGCAGTTCTGCCAAATGTCACATCAGGGAATTTCTTGTGTCTCAGAGGTTTGGTTCATGCTGCAGAGCTTAATGGATTTATGGAGCTATGTGCAAGGTTTAGTGGAGAGACCTGTCAAGTGGAACAGGATCTGTTGCTGTTTGAAGCAGTTAAGGGGAAGATGTTCAGAAGTGGTTCTATTCAGTGATAGTTACTAGTTAACAAGTTATTAACATAACTGGCTCGGAGTTTTTGGTCAAAAAAGAAAGGGACTAAAAAGCCAAGCAAGAAAGATGAACTATCAGCATGTTGGGGGAGCTTGCAGAGTGATGAGGGATCTGGAGAAGGGAAAAAGGCAGAGGGTTTTTGTTGCTTTTTGCACTAATAGACCCTGGGGGAGCACCTGTCAGTGCAGACTGAAATCAAGAGACTGTCTTGTTCATAAGTATTAACATGCAGAGCTCATTGTAACTGGATAGTGCAGGAGATGAAAGATAAGCAGATTTTTTGGGGAAAAAAACCCCACACAAACCAAAGAAGTGGGAGACAGGTCCATTGCACTGGGCAGTGTTCAGATGCAAGGTCAGACTCAGCAGCTCGGGGCTACAACTAGTCAGCTGTTAGAGGGAGGGAGAGGATACTGGGCTAACTGGACACCCAGCTAGCTTGATCCAGGGCAGCTCTTTGTCCACTTGGGAAATGCTGAAAGTAAATTGTAAGCAGCAATGTCAGTGTCCCCAGTCTAGGCTTGCTCAGCCCCTCAGCAAAGAGGGAAGGATGGTTTCAGAGAAGCACGAGCTGCTGGTTCTGCAAGCTGGGAAGCAATCCAGGCTGTGTGCCCTGTGATCAGGCAGTGCTGCAAAGGTGACCCCTTCTAACACAAAGAGCAGCAGCTCTGGTGGCAACTGCTTCCCAGCTTGCTCTGTGAGAAGGTGTCTGCAGAGATGGTGGTGCTTGTTAGTCTTCCATTGTTGGCCCAAGAAGGAGGGTGTTGGCTGTGGAGGTATCTCCTGGAGCTGTTCATCTCTCTTTTGTACCTGATTTGGGGTATTAAGTGTCCTTTCTGGAAGGACCACTGGAGAAGCTTTTCTCTCTGGTCTGTATCTTCAAATGGAAACCCATCTGTTTAAATACAGGTTTGGTTTTAAACCATTTAAATCAGAGTGGCAGTTGTACAGAATTGTATTATAGACCAAAGGAAGTTTCTTCCTGAAGCTGCAGGGTATCTCTGGGCTGTGTTGTCCTTCTCTGAAATGGATGCAAAGGGCTGAAATCACTTTTGTTACATCAATGCAGACATTTGACTGTTGTGGTTTGGGTTCAAGCACAGCAGGCAACGTGCTGTGTTCATCTTTGCTATGGGAGTTCTGATCATGTTCGTGTGGATCTGCTCTACTAAAGAGAAAATACATCTCAGATTAAAGATATTTAGACTGATTTGCTATTCTCAGTCAGTGGTGCAGATGAGCTATGGAGCAGTGCTGCTACTCATGTCTGTTCAGAATAGAGCTCAGTCAAAAGGAAAGCTGAGCAATGTGAAGTGGAGAGTCCTGAGCAGAGACATTAATATCTCTTTGCATGTTACAAACTGCCTCTTCTGGAGAGTTGGTGGAGTGAAGAAGAGTCTTAAGGTTGGTGTAACTGATGGTTTGTTGAGCAAAGCACAGTCATGGAGGGCTGCTGCACTGTCAAGTGAGATGAAATCCATAGTTTGACAAGAACAGCTTGGAGGAGGAGGGATGGCAGGGAGATGGAAAACAGGAAGTAAGTACCAAGCTGTTCAGGAAGCTGAGGATGAGGGGGAAAAACTTCACAGAAGACGTGGAGCTGGAGGGCAGAGGCACGAAAAGGAGGGTTTGCACTTCAGAGTTTACACAGGTTGCAGCACGATCGGGTAGGATCCAGAGAGGTTAGTGCTGAAGTTGTAGTAGCCAAAGCAAGACCTACCTAGGGCCTGGGATGGTATTTCTGAATGTTAGGAATGAGTCTGTATAAATAAATAAGCTAAAATGTTCCCTGTGGGCTCGAGCGATGCCCTCGCAGGAGGATTCTTGTGGGTTTACTTGTTGAGACTACATGGCCTGTAATTACACTCTCTTTTTTGAAGGGGACGTGTCATTGCATTGGTTAGAGGGGTAGAAATTATCTTCAGCACTTCTTCCCCTTTTAGACTGCAAGAAATGTGTAATTGTAGGTTTGAGCCAGGACTTTTTATTCCCCAAAGTCTCCCGCGTCCCCACAACGCAGGGGTAGTGAGTCAGTCCTTCGCTTGTTCCAGCAGATGGTGCAGACTATTCAGGGACAGAGGCTCCCAGAAGGATTCTGCTCCTTCCTTTGAGGGAAGGCAGACCTCCCCAGTGAGGAACACACTGCCAAGAGGATGGACCTTGTGCTCTGCAACTGCTGCTGCACAGAAACAAAGCCCCAGCCTTGTACCCTGAAGCTGAGGGAGTTCAGAAGCACAATCTACTATGGACAGTGGTTGTTTGGACAGGAATAGTTGCAGCCTGGCAGGCTCTGGGGAGTCAGACTAACATTTCCATGTGGTGGAATGGCTTGGTTGGGTCCCAAGAATCTTTCATAGTAGAGTTTTCCAGACATGCACTGGTACCTCAGCACAAGGATCCCTGGGGCTGGGCCCATCTCGGACAGAAGTGAAGCTGTCACAGGACTTTGCCTTTTGCCAAAACAGAACAGAAGCTGCAACATTCAGCTACAGGCCACAAAATCTGCCTCTCCCTCCCCTAGAAGCTGTCCCAGCCATCCCTGGTGTTGTGCTGTGAAACCAGGAGGATCCTAGTAGAAGAGTAAATTGCAGGCAGAGATGCCAGATCAGTGTCCCAGCAGATGCCAGCAGTGGTCAGGTTTTGCCCAGCAGAAAGGTTGAGGACTGTCACACCCCTGCTTATCCCTGCAGTGCTGACAGGCAAAAGCCCCTCCTGTCCCTGTGCCACTGGGCTCTGCCCTAACCTCAGGAATTCTGCCCATGCCACAGAGCCAGCTCTGCCCTCCTGAGTGTTCCCTGCATGCTCTGCAGGTGAGATTCCCAAAACTTACTGGACTCCATCCTTGGACAGTCTTTACAGATTCACTTTACAGCCTCAGTTGTCTTCTTTGCTGAGGTGGAGCAAAGAGCAGATCCTTTGCAAGAACCTCTCCTATCTTTCCATTTGTCATGCCCAGACCTTTTTCCTCCCAATCTTTGCAGCTATTCAAGTGTCCTGTCTGTTTCCTCTCTCCATTGGGTCTTCCAATGCAACACCTTAAGCAAATGTCTCCTGCTTTACTCTTTATTATTCTGCCAACATAAACATTACTAAAAAACACTTTATAAAATATGTCTCAAAATGCAGCACTACCCAAGGACCTAGAGTTTCCTGGCCAAAGGGGTGGAGGTGAAGATCCAAAGGGGTTTCCCACTGCAGACCCTCCCACATCAGATCCCAACAGTCAAAGGGTGGGAAAAGGGAATCTTTGAGCCTGTGCCTCGAAATGGCTGTTACACATCCTAGAGAAGACAACTGTTACTAGTCCAGTTGATCTAGAGGTCATTTTTCTAGGTGGCTACAGATGGTTTTCAGAGGAAGATTTTGAGGGACAAGTGTTCCCAGGAACTGCAGAAGGAAGAGCCATATTAATATCTCTGGCTGTTGTCCAAGCTGCCAGATGCTAATGATGATTCCAGGCTATGGGGGACTCTGATAGGAGCTTAATAAAGACTCTAATAAGAGCCTAGGGACAAGGAAGTCTCCCTTCTAGGACTGAGAGCCCTGGAAGGGAAATTCAGGCAGAGCAAGTTTGTCAGGTTCAACAGAGGGGAATCCCAGCCTGGAGAAGCTCATCAAGGCTGGAATGGGCTACCCCAGAGCTGGTCTCTAGGGATCTGTAAAGGAAAACAGGAAGGGATTGCCTCCTGTGGCCTTGGAGGGAGGTCTCTGAGGACGAGAGGCCTCTCAGCTGGTCCCAAGGGTCAGGCAGCAGTCCCAGAAGACTCAGGCTCTGCCCCTCTTACTTGGGCATGGGCTGCTCCCTGACACCTGGTGCTTCACGCCAGTCCTGTGGCTCTTTGATCTGGGGAGCAGCATTGGGGTTTGGATTCTGGACACTGCCTATGAAAAGTGGGATGCCTGATTCATCTTCAAAGATGAGGAAGAGGAAGGGCCGGTCAAGGCTGAAGGCAGAGACCGAGCGGGACAGCGCGACGCTGGTGGTGCCAGATGCTTCCACCCCGTCTTCCTGAAGCTGCAGGGTGGACTGGTGCTGGATACTGGATACAGAGAGAGGCTCATCTGTGATCTTTTGAAGGTTTGGGTTCATGAACAGCTCCTGGAGGCCTGCAGAGAAATGAGGGTCAGTTACCCTGTCCCAGTTGGTGCCACCAGCTCAGATTTCCCTGAAAGCTGCCTGAAGAAAGCCACTCCCTCCTCTGCTGCTACGTGTGTTGCCCACCAGAGGCCCAAAAAACTGGCAGAAACAGAAGCTGCAGTCCAGCCAGGCTCCCCACTTCCCAGCATGAAGAGCTGAGGGTGCCAAAACCAGAACAGTTTTCCTGTGCTTTGTCCACCTCTTTCAGAGTGGAAGTGGAAGAACTTAGGTGCTTCCTTGAAAAGCAGCAAGTCTGAAGGCTCTTTCTGGCTAGGCTGGAAACACTTTTTACAGAGATTTTTTAAAGCAATTCTGCAAAACAAAGTGAACTCTTAATCTGCTCTAGATGCAGTAGATGGTGTTTCAGTTCAGAAAGCTCTCACTTCCAGATTTAGTGATCTGCATCCTCTGTGGGCAATTTCAGCGTCCTGGGCACTACGTTAAAGTAAGAGAAAAAGGTTGATGCATGGGAGGAAGTTGGTCTTGGCTAGAAATAGGAATAGGAAGAACTCATAAAGATGGTGAGGAGCTGTGAATGCTGCCTTCTCTGTAGTATCATCTTGGAGCAAAACATTTGGTGCTAGGCAAGCAAAGAGTAAGAAGGAGGAGAGGAATGAGAGTTGAAGGAGTTTGGGTGTTATCTGCAGCAAACTGTGAGGCACAGCTTTAGAAACATGATGGCAGCTTCTAGTGTCAGTGAACAGATGCCTTGTAGATGGATCAGCTTCACTTACACTGTGCAAATCCTGTTAGAGGCCTTACCCATTCGACTGAGAACCTTGTTGAGTTCCAGCTCATATTCCAGTTTTATTTTGGGCATCTTCACTGTGGTGGGTACCTCCCTGGGGAAAAGCCTGCAGAGCTGTTGATAAGGGAAGTTCTCCAGCACATGAGAGGTATTCCAACCATACTGGTTTGGTACAAGGACCACAAAACTCATGTTGCTCTTAAAGGGAAACTTGGCCACCTGGAAATAAAACCAACCAGAAGAATTTCAGGAAGAGGAAGGAAGACCCAGAAAGCGAGGTCTTTAATTTCATCTTTTTCTAATTGGTCTACAGAGCCAGTCTAGCTATGGGATGAAAACAGCCAGGTGGGGAGGAGGGATCTGACTTGTCCAGAGGAGAAGGTTTGTTGGAATATCAGCATTAGGTGTTAGTATTAACCCACTGGCCAGTAAAGCTTGAACACATGGCAGAGGGGAAGGCCACGTGCACAGACATGGGCTGTAGCTCTGTCAGTACATTGTCTGAGGGAATTCCTTCCCTTATTGCCTCATTTCTCTTTAACTCAGGGGTTTAAAACTCTTCTTAATTCCCACTTAGTGAGATTATTTTTCTTTGCAGTTTTCCCTAGAGATTGAGAATGAAGATCCAACATTCTTGCTAGAAGCAAAGACCAAAGATGCTTGTTACATTTTTGTGTGATATGCCCGTTAAGAGGCATTTGGGTTTTGCCAAGAACACTTCCAGGCAGTAAAATACCAGAGCAAGAGGAAGTTCCAGTTAAACCTTGTAGTGCTCCTAATAAAGCCCTACCTGGATGTCCTGGGACTCCAGAGTAAACCAGCTCAGGGGGTACTGCTGGGCTTTCATCATCTCAACTGGGACCACAAACTCGTTGTCGAGGTGGAATACATCTGGCCCAGTGAAACTGGCATCAAACTTAGTCCTCCAGAACCCTGTCAAAACACAAGTTTAGAAATCAACCAAGTTAAATGTGGGTAGGAAAACAGAAACTGTCTAGCTGACCCTCCTCCTGTCACCAGTTTTCCACTTCACCAGGGTAGTAGAAATACAACAAAGAGAAGGCAGTACCAAGGCTGTGGAGCCCTAGTAGCAGGCAGCTCTTTATCTTCCAAAGAGGGACTATGGAACAACAAAAAGAGTGAGGATTAACCCTCCTGCCTCAGCGTGGGAGGTGACTGAAGGCTATGGAGATAAAAGTGATAGATGTTTGCACTTTGAAAAATGAGTGTTGCCTTTGTACTGCTTAGGGTAAAACAGCACTGCAAGACCAAGCTAAAACATTTGCAGATTTACACTGGAAGGAAGTGTTTGGTCTGTGTTTCGATGCACAAGCCCCAGGGAATCAGAAGAAGATGTGCCTGGTCACTGTGCTGTAGTCAGGAAGAAATCCCCAGAAGCTGCCCCCGAGCTCTGTGGTTGGGGTGCAGTGGGTGCCAGGGGACCTGGTGAGGTGCTGCTCTCTGTGATCCTAAACCAGGAGGCAAAAATACTGCAGGGCCCACCTGCTGCATTCTGGCTCTGCTCTCAAGTAGCATTTTTGGCACATGTGAAGTGGTTGGGACTCGGTGGAAAGAAATCCAAGCAGGAGGAATGGCAGATGTACAAGAACAAGCAGACTGGCAGGAAGCAAGGAGAGGAGCTGCCACCAGCCACAGTGCTTGCAGAGAGCTAGTAGGTTTCTAAGTATTCCTCTGGAAAAGTAAGGCCTGTGGAGCTCACCATGGAAATGGACTGCATTGAGCAAGAGCATCACTGTGTCTTCAGGGAGTTGCTGGAGGAAGGTGGGTATTTGCCCATTAGTTGCTTCCTTTACCCACTTGTTTATGGCTGCGAGGTCATCCTCACTGATCCCAGAAAGGGCCATGGGCTTTGCCCCGTAGAATTTCTCTGAATCCTCCAGGAACTTCTCTTTCACCTCAAATCCTGATGATGGAGGGAAGAAAATCCACATGAAGCCATCAGGCATTGGGAACATTTGCTCAGTGGCTCAGCCAGTGGCGTGGCCCTGCCCAGGGGGACTGCCTGGGCAGCAGAGATGTCTCCCAGGGTGCTTCCAGCACTGCTTGTCACCCAGAGCTGCACCCCACACCCAGAGGGACCCCCCCTTGGCAGCTCCCACCTTTCTGCAGGTACAGCCGTGCTGCAAGGCTGAGCGGGGACTCCGTGAGCTTCCTGCGGAGGGTGCCCAGCCTGTGGTGGAGACAGGGCACCCACTCCAAGTGTGTCACCTCCAGCAAGTGCTTCTCTGTCTGATTTGCTGCTCCTAAAACAGGCAAAGTCACATCCCTGTCAGTTCACCTGCCTCCTGTTGGGAACACCCTGTGCCTTACAGAGGGGGCTGGAGGAACCCGAGAGGAGGAGCCTCCATGGGGCAGCCTCAGCTGCAGCCCTACCAAACTGAAGCTGCAGGAGTAAGATTAAGTGGCAGGTGCTGAGTTTAATCTTTGCACTTTGCACATGGGTTGCCAGTGCCTCCAGGAGGGGTACAGGGAAGGGCAGGAGCCAGGAACTGCTGGTTTTGTGACTGAGACCTTACCCAGTGCCAGGTGGGACAAGGCGAGGGCGATGCTGAGGGGGGACAGGATCATGTTGGTTCTGTTGGACTCCAGCTGGACCTCTCTCAGGAGATCAATGCTGAATCTCATCAAACCATCTGCTAGCCTCTGGCTCTTCTTCCAAGTCATCTCACAGGTTTTCCCTTCAGCCTCTCCTTCCTCCTCAGAAGAGGCAACCTCCTCAGATGGTTGCTGCTGAGGACAGCCCACAGCCCCAGCTAGGACTTCATCCTCTGAGCTCCAGCTGTTCCTCGTGCCTGACAGTGTGTTGGTGGAAGGTGACATGAGCCCATCAATCTCCTGGAAGGGCTCATAGGTAAGGCCTCTGGCAGAGCAGACTGGACAATTCCAGCAGTTTTCACATCCTGGGAAGAAACGAGAAGGATGGCACTGGGAAAGCAGGAGCACAGCACTCCCTTCTCTCAAGGGTTCTACTGCACACCCAAATGGGCTGAGAAAACTCTCTTGACTTCTTTACTTTGGTGAAGTATTCACTTCAGTTTGCCTCTTAACCTTGATGTTGAAAGCACCCCAGTGAGTTTGGAAAACAGAAGGTCTTGTATCCTGGGAAAAGGACCAAGCGAGCATCTTGCAGTGGTTCCTCCTCTACTTGCTCTCAGGGCCTGCCCAGGCAAACGAGCCCAACAGCCCAGCTTTGAGGGCAGGAAGCTGCTCAGCACATGTCCTGTGCCCTCCCTGTTACAGATCCATCATCCCCAGCCAGGGTTTCCCCCCTCCTCTCCCACCTCCCAGCGCTGCTGCTCAGCGCCCCCGCTGCTGGCACAGCCCTGCTCCTTTTTGGCTCAGATTCTTTCTCCAGGCATCTGTGACACTTCTTGACTTGCCTGTCCTGTTCCATCCCTCTTCTCTCCAGATTTCCCTATTTCCCATCTTTCTCAGACTGCCACTGCTGTCCTCACATGTGCCTGGTCTCAAGCACATGCTTTTTTCCTCGGATCTCTCTGTTCCCACCCGCATCCAGGTGGTGCAGGAGAGCTGCTCTGCCAGAGCCAGGCTCCATGGGTGCCATCAGCTGTGGGGCTTTCTCCCTGTCACCCTCAGAGCTAATTGTTTTCTTCATCTTCCCTTACCAATCAGAAATTAAATAACCCACCTGCCAGTCCCTGCCCATACCAGCTACTGGTGTTTACTCCATGTGTTCCCCAGTTACCTGGGCTGGAGCTTCCAGTGAGAAGGAGCAGTGTGGAGAGGGAAGCCTGGACCTTCTCATTGCTCTGGCACTAGATTGCACCACCTGGACTCATCCTAGCTCAGGACAAACTGGAAAACCATTGCAAATGCCACAGTCCCCTTGGGTGGAACCATTCCTAGCTCACCTTCAGCTTCCCATCTTTGTCTAAGAAGAGACGCTTTTGCTCCATGGCTTGTGCTGAAAAAAACTGTAGGGGAGGGAAAAAAAACCAACAGCAAAGAAACAAAGTCAGGTCCCAGATAATTTCCTCCGAATTCCCAGAATGAGCCTTCTCTGCTCCAGGTCAGAGCCTGGCACCAGCCTGGCTGTAGCAGTCCCTGTGGGGCTTCAGCAGGGGCAGGGCTTGAGGACACAGACCCAGAGGCCATGGGGTCCACCCAGGGAGGTGGAAATGAGCCCGAGCTGGGAGCCTGAACCCCCTGGGTTTGTCTAGAAAGGGAGCAGGTCTGAAGGGTTCAAAATAGTGGATCCTCCAGAGAGTGAGCAGTGTGGTTTTGCAATCTCAGATCTGACAGGGATCCAGATTTAAAACGGGAGGAAAAAAACCTGTTATTGAACAACCTCATGTTAACCCCTGAAGGTTGTGGTCACAGTTGAAGCCAAGTTTCCACAGATTCTCTACAGAAACCCTCTTAGATAATGAGAGTATATAAGCTGGGAAAGAGATTAGAAATCTTGCTGCACTGGGCATGGATTAACCCTGTAGCAGAGCAGCACTGTCCTCCTCCAATCTGCTTCCCAGGGCTTCTCACCCAGAAGCATCAGGGGGTATTTGCCCCATGGTCTGGTGCAGGAGAGCCACCTTGCTGCCCTTTGCTGTCTGGGGAGGGGACTGTGCCCACACCACAGAGATGTCCACACCATGGCTGGAGTGAAGAGACTTACCCTGAGGTGACTGTGCAGAGCAGGCAGGCAGAGCAGCAGCAGGCCCCAGAGGAACACCATGGTGCTGGAACAGAAGGACCAGCCGAGAGAGAAGTTCTTTCCAGCTGCCTGGCAGCAGCAAAGCTGAGCCTTTTCAGGTCTGCAGGGAGACAATTATCAACCTGGCCAAACAGGTTGGTACAGGAGCTTGCAGAAAGCACTGGGGAGATGAACAATGCTGCAAAGAAACAACACAGGACTCCTAGGTCCCAGCCAAGGCAGGGGAATCAGAGAGGACCAGGGACCCAGGCTGGAGCAGAGCTGTAACCACAGCCAGGCTTCCCCACAACCCTCCCCAGCTTAGAGCCTGCCTCTCTGACCCCATTGCCCTCGTTTCTCTGGATTGCAAATGGTATTTCCCTAATCAGTCCTGCACACACTGTGCCTCTGGAAGAAAACAAGAGCCTCTGCTGCTCCTTCCCCCTGCAAAGCACCAAGGTCCAGGCACAGCATCCTCAGCTGTGCCCTGGGCAGGAGGGATACTGACCTGCCTCAGGAGCTCCAGGCACTCAGCAAATGCTCTTTGGGAGGGACCTTGCAGGTAGAAAATACCAGAGCAGTTTCTCAGCATGTGTCCTGGAACAGAGAGTCCTTCCCTTCCCAGCACTCGCCTTCCCTGCTTTCTGGCAAAGCCAGCTTCTCCTACCCCCACACTCCAGTTCCCATATGGGACAGTGGGAGCAGGGGCTTCCAGGGCCATGGATGAAACCCCACCCATTCCCTGGCCACCCATCACCCAGTCACTTTTCCTTTACAAACAGTCCTCACAGTATCTGCTGCTTACCATAATGCCTTGGAGCCAGGCCCAGCCCTCAGCACAGCTGCCCTACACTGAACTCCTAGGGCTGCTTTCTACTCTCCAGGCTTTCACCCAGAACTTCTGGGCTGCCACCCCAGATGCCAAGTGGAAGCAGCAAAACTTGAGGCCATTTCATCCCCCCTCATCCCAAATCCTGCAGCCACATACAGCCCTGAACACCCCTTTCCTCCCTGCTGGTACCTGTCATTTAACCCACTGCCAACCTCACCCCCTTTTTCCCAGAGAGACACTGTTGCCTGCTGGAGGAGCCCCCACTGACTGTCAAATCCTTGTTTGTGACTCACCTGAGGTTGTTGGTGTCCACCTTGGAGCTGGCACTCCCTTTAGCCTGGCTGGTAGCTCCGTATGGGGCAAACACAGCCTGTGGTCCAGCCCACCCCTCCAGTGACCTTCAGCACAGCCCATTCCAGAATCTGGCAGGCAAATATTGACCTACAGCACCAGCCTGGTCATCTGTTTGGGAGCTAAGAGGGAACATGTGGTGCTCTGGGCTGCTGTTAACACCAAGTTTACCAGCTCCAAAACTCCCATTGGCTCCCAGCTCCCCTTGGAGCTGATTGCCCTTTCTAGTGGCTTCTTCTAGTGAAAGTGTAGGGCTTGGTGTCCATTGCCACAGGGCGTGTGCTGATTCTTCACTTTTCTTTGTAGAAACCCCCAGATGTTTGCTCTCTGTATCCCAGCTGCTCCTGCTGCAGCAGCCACAAGGCAGGGGTCTGGCAGGTGATGGTGCCCAAGGCCCTGTGGCTGTACTGGAGTGGGAAGCAGGGATGCAAAGAGCAGCTGGTCCCTCCCCTGGGGCACAGCAGGCACTGGAGCTGTGCTGGGGGGGCTGGCCCTGGTGCCAGGCTCCCAGCAGGCACACACCTCAGTGAGGAGGAGGCTCTGGGTGGGCAGTGCTCCAGCAGTCCCCTCCCGAGTCATTCTGTGCAGGATGCAGAAGGAATGGTGATCCTTCCTGGCTCTGCCCACGTCCTCAGTGTGAGACAAGCCACCACGGAGCAGTGGGGGAACACTGAGCAGAGTGCAGCACTTCCACCATCATTCCTTGCAGCAGCTTTTTGTTCCCAAACTCGTTCCATACACTGGGAAGGAGTGGAAAGGAGAGCTCTGCAACCAGAGAGTACCTTGGGACACGCTGCTGCAGCATGGGGAGCTGCTTCCCCTTGGAAAGCAGATCCAAGTCCCCGTGCAGCACAGCCCCACCTTCCATCCAGGGCAGCTTCACAGCATCCCCCTCCAGCTCACCCAGGAACCCCAGGGGTGCTCAAGGCAGACCCCCCAGCCCTGCACCACACCCTCCAGCACAGAGCCTCCCTGCACACCCGGCTCTGCAGCTCTGTCAAAGAGTTTATTAGAAGTCAGTATTTACATCTATTGCAAAGGGTTAGTAGGCAACACGGGACCGAGAGCTCCCCTTGGCCAGGGGAGATAGCACGGGCCAAGCCCAGGGCAGCCTTCCCAGCTGCAGGTGGCTCGGATGGACCCGGAGCTGGGTGAACACCCACTGCCCTCCCAGGACAACCCCCAGCAGGCTCCTCCTCTGCCCAAGATAAGAGCTTCCCGCTCTGAGTAGGCTGATGGATGGGAACAGGGCTGCAATAGAAGTGAGGCAACTGCTCCTACTGCTGGGTCAAAGAGCATTCTCCTCACCTCTGGGGTGGGAATGGTGCTATCCTAAAGGGAAGGTCAGAAGGAGACTGTGTTGGATCATCCCCCTTGGGCTCTCACCCTACAAGGGCAGGAGGGGACAAAACTGAGCATCTTTTTGCTGTCCTGGAGTCCCCAGGAGTGTGACCAGCACTAAGGAGTGTGGAGAGGAGGAGGACTTCTTGGGAAAGGCTGCCAGTGTGTGGCACACAGGGCATTCCTCACCCCTTGGATTATCATGGGACACAGCACTGCTGGGGCAGGAAGCAGCAACTGCCCATCCCTGCCCTACTGATCTAGAAGCCAAAATCTTCATCTAGTTCTGGCCTCCCTGGAGGGCCCCTTTCCCAACCCAAACTGTCCCTCTGCACAGCCCATTCCCAAATGAACTAGCAGAGCAGATGGGGTTCATGCCTTGGCAGATTTCCATTCCCATCTTTGCCCTGGAGCAGGTCAGGTTGCAGAAGTGCTCTAGCTAACCTCTCCTCCTCCCAAACAGGCTCTAACTCAGCCAGCAGAAACTCCAGTGAACAGAGTATACCCTCTGGGCCTTGAACACACCATAGGAGGAGGAGATGCCCAGCACCACACAGCTCCAGAGCCAGCAGTTCCCAGGCCCAGCTCATGCTACCCTAGTAAGACTGTTCAGTGGTTCAGGAGTGGAAGAGAAGGGTCAGTGCAGGAATGGCAGTAGCTATACTATTGTTTTCTTGTCAAGTGGCACCTCTTACCCCTTAACTGAAGGAGGGAGGATACCCGTGGTCCATGTTACTCTGGAGAGCAGCTCACAGTCCCCTGGGGATCAGGCACACACGGTACAGAAAGCTCCAGGCCTCTCTGCAGGGGTGACAGTGACCTACAACACCCAGTATCTCTCCCAGCAGCAGTGGAGGTTTCTCACTTATGGCTTCTTTTTTTTTCTTCTTTTTAAAGATGCAGAAAGAGGTTAGAGATGCTTTACCAAGTGCTCACTAAGGACTGCACCTGCCCCCCTGCATCCATCCTCTGCTCAGACAGCTCTGGCTCTGCCCCCCCCCAGCCTCCTGCTGCCCTGCAGCTCCCCCAGCAGCTCCCACAGGGGCTACGCCAGCAGGCGGATGACACCGTTGTCTGAGCCCAGCAGGAGGTGGCATTTGGTGGGCAGCACTGCCAGGCTGGTCAGTGTACCCCGGAAATTCTCTGAGCTCAGCTTGGTGGTGCTGAGGGGCAGGGCTGAGGACTCCAGCATGGAGTAGACACCAATCTTGTTGGCCACTGTGCCAGCGACCACCTCGTTGCCATAGAGGTCGAAGGCGTGGATGGGCTCAGAGGCAGATTTGTAGTGGTGCAAAGGCTTCTGCTCCAGTTCCTTCCAGACAGTCAGGGAATGATCAGAAGAGGAGCTGATGAGCACGTTGCCCTCTGCAGCCTGCAGGAGAGGAGAGGCCAGTGAACCACCCCTGCTGCAGTAAAAACTCCCAGTCCCACCCTGCAAATGAGGTTAGCAGGTAGCTGCCAATATTCCAACAGTCCCAGCACTATCCCTCAGGACAGTCCCAGCCATTTCCAAGCAGCTGATGGTACTGAGCAGTATTAACAAGGCTTCCAGGTGGACACTGCAAGTGACAGGACTCTCTAGTAGCTGGAAACCTCCTCTAGTGCTACCCAAGTATCCAAGAGATGGGCTGTGCTTCCTCTCAGTGACATCCTGGTAACTAATTTATAATCTGTTACTACTGCAGTGGGTATATCATCATGTGGTCTCCTTCTCTATCAAACCACCTGCCAAATTATTTTCCTTCTCAGGAAAAGGAACTGGGAGGCTGTCTCACAGTAGCAAACACTGCTGAGGGTAGAAGTCTGGAGCTGCTTATTAGCAGAGCTAGTGAGAGGGTAAACAACCCACTGCACTGAACTTTGTTTAACCTGCACTGGGATTGAGGACACTGGAGCCCCAGAGCTGCTCCCCAAGGGTGGGTAAATATGGACAAGAGTTACTCATTAAAGCCACACTCTTCCAGGAGAGCTGAGAGCCCTGAAGAGAAAGCAGCACATTTGCTTCTTCACAAGAGACGTGTCTCCTCCCTGGCCAAGGGACCAGCCACCTGCAACACCAACCATGTCTTCTTCTGGTTGGTCTTCTCCCTACTGGCAGGGACTGACACCTGGGGGGCTGATCTCCATTTTGCACAGGCTAGACCAAGACCAGCCACCTGCAACACCAACCATGGGGCAGGGGAGCTTGAACAGCCTTGTGGGGAGACAGCCAGGGATGGAGGATCACCCAGGGGATGGAGCAGACAAGCTCTGCCAACCCAGAAGATGCTCCACACAGCCTCAGAGGATGGATGAGGCCCGAAAAAGCAGCCCCCTCACCCTGCTCCCAGCTGGACCTCTCACCTTGATCTGCAGGATGTCACCTTCGTGGGCAGGCCAGCCCCGCATGATAAGTCCAGTCCTGGTGTCCAGCAGCACAATGAACCCGGAGGAGAAGCCGGCGACGACGCTGCGCCCGGCGGGGCTGACGGCCAAGCAGCGGATCAGCCCGGCGCTCAGCCCGCCCGCCAGGCGGAACTCGTGCTGCAACACAGACAGCCCGGCTGCTGCAGGGCCAGGGAACAGGGCCCAGCTGCCCTTCCTGGACGCAGCAGCACCTCAGGGCCATCCCACCATCACACACATGGATGGAGGAAGGAGACTCCCTACCTGTAGTCCTGGCTTCCTGTGGTCGATGAACCGCAGCACCGAGTCGGCGCTGGCCACGGAGATGCTGTGGTAGGGAGGTGGCATGGTGGCCACAGCTGTGATGGGGACTTTGCTGTCTAATTCATCAAAAGTCCGGAGAAGTTTGCCTGTGAAAACATGAGGGAGAGGTTACAGCAGGAGATGTGCAGAGCATCTCTCCAGTTCTGCTCTGGTTTCTAACAGGAGCCAGCAAAACCCAGTGCAGCCACTCCAGTCCTTAAGGACTGGACCAGTGGCCTCCAGCCAGCCCTCAGCCTTCCCCTTCCTACCTGTGAACTGGTCCCAGATGTGGACAGTCCCATCACAGCTCACCACATGCTGTGATGCCTCCAGCTGGTCCACGTAGAAAACAGATTTCTTGTGCTCCGCGTAGGTGAAGCGCGGGGGCACCTCGCTGGTGCCGTCCCCGTAGTTGTACAAGGGCCACAGGCGGACGGTTTTGTCCTTGCTGCCACTGAGGAAGAAGTCCTCACTGCTGAGTGGGGCCACGCACTTGATGGCCCCTGAATGCCCCGAGAAGCTCTGCAGCTTGATCTGGTGGAAGTGGAAGCGGGGGTCGTGCTGGCTCACCCCGATCTCGTACTGCCAATAGGCCAGCCAGTTCCCACAGAGCATGTGGGTGCTGCGGGGCAGGTCGTGCTTCAGGGCGTTCTCCTCGTGGGCTGAGCTGGGGATGGAGCCATCAGGGCCAGCACTGAGGTGCAGCAAGCCCAGACCCTCGCGCTGCGTGTCCACAGGGACCTGGATGCGGTTCCCTACCAGCACACTCCCGAAAGTACCGGAGTGACTGTCCTCCTGGTGGCTGGGGAAGGGCTCGGTCCCTCGTGTGTCTTGGTCTGAGCCCACCACACTGGGTGCCTGCTCCAGGCTAACCACCTGCAGGCTCTTGGGGTTGACGTTCTCCAGGTAGAGGCTGGCCAGCTTCTCAACCAGCGAGTGGTTGGGCACAACCGTCCGGATAACATCACCTGAAGGGAGAGAACGTGGCTTCCAGGGAAGGAATTTCCCCATCATCACCGCCCACCACTGGCAACAGGAGATGGGTTAGCACAGGGCTGTGAACACAATGTCACCCTTATGCTGCTCCCAGCCAAAGCAACCTGAAGCCCAGGGCAGTGGTGGAGCCCCCATCCCTGGAGGTATTTAAAAGGCACGTACATGTGGTGCTGAGGGACATGGGGCAGTGGTGGCCTTGGCAGGGCTGCAGCAACGGTTGAACTTGATGATCTTAAAGGTCTTTTCTAACCAAAACAATTCCATGATTCTAAGCCTGGTGGGCTCCCAAGCAGACCAATCCACCATGTGGAAGCTGTGGTTTCCCCCAGCAGCCCTAGACCCTCTAGACCCTCCCGAGTTCAGGTCCAGCACCTGTGCACACAACACAGAGCTCTCTTACAATTCCTAGCAGATGGTGGCCAAGCCATACCTAGCAAGCAGGAGAAGGGGATGTAGGTGGTGTAGGCCATCTCAGGGCTAAACACCTTCTGTAACTCTGCCAGCACAGTTGGATCCAGGGCCAGCAGCTTCCCATCTGAAAGGGGCACCTCCATCACTGGCACCTCACAGCTGCTCAGAGACTCTGCTGTCAGCCCCTGCCCAGGAGAAAACAAGATACCAAGATCAGACACTCTCATCACGTCATTAATTACACAAACACAGCCTGGGCTGGGCACTGCTGACACCAGCACTGGTGAATGCAGGTATGCCCACCACCCTCCTGTGGCTGGGTACTGGGGGATGGCAGGAGGACCTCTCCCATGGCACTGACCTGGTCCTGCAGCTCCTGCAGCAGTGAGAAGGCCCCAAAGAAGTTCCTCACTGTGTCACTCAAATGCTGCTGCACCATCTCCTGCCCAATGCGCAGGCAGATCAGGGCAATGAGGCTGATTGTCTTCACACACAGGACAGTCCGGGCCTGGGCACCGCTGGGGAAGCTGCAGGGACATCCATGACCAGCCTGCCCTCCACATGCCCCTTTCCCCTCTTCTGCTTCATGCTTCCCATCTTGTCTGTGTCCTGAGCAGGACAACCTCTACACACCAGCACGAGGAGGTGCACACCAGGGCAGGAGCAGCCCCACAAACCCACGGAGGCCCTGACAGAACCACTTCCACCCCCCCAGCCCGGAGCAGTGCCCATCCTGGCTGGTGACACGGCAGGTTGCAGCGCTCACCCGACGGCCGGCGAAGTGAGGAAGCCCAGCACTGGGAGCAGAACCTCCTGGCTGATCTTGGGGAGGATGTCCATCAGCGTGGTGTCTGAGAGACACACCACGATCTTCTGAGTCAGCGTGACAGCAGCCAGGAGCCCGGCCTCCTTCCGGCTGTTCAGCCGCCCCCCGCCGGCCCCGCCGCTGGGGGCAACCTGCAAAGGGACCCCCCCGTCACTGCCAGGGCCACCACCCCCACAGCAGGACACACCAAGGGGTCACCCGAGCTCAGCCTCCAAACCCACAGGCCCTGGGAGAGGAACCTGAGCACTGGGGCTCAACAGCAACTCGTGTCTTGCACTCGAGGGATGAGCTGAAAGCTGAAGGAGCTGTCGGCACAGGGCCTGGAGAGAAGGGGACACCACAGCCCCAGAGCTCACTGTCCTCCT